ACAGTAAGAACATGTACTTGGGAATCCACCAACTCGAGAAGTTCCACAGGTTTGCCAAAAGACGAATGGGCAAGCAACATGTAATTATGTTTGGTATTGTGTGCCGGTAACGTATGTGTTATTTGCATGACATCACTTGACTGTATTGGATTGTGGGTTCACTTGTTGTTTTGACGCTAGATATTTTTTATTCAGCGTCAATGCTGAGCGTGTAGTTTGTTGTTGCTACACGCAGGTAAACAGGGGGACAATGAACCTAGAGTCGACCCCGAAAGACATTGAGGACGAGGAGATGTGGGTGGACCTAATTGAGGACTTGAAAGCACTTTTCATAGCAAATTGACTTAATACATTTTTGGGCATGAGTCCCAAGTTGTGTTATTTTAATTAACTATTTGAGCTTCCACACTGTTTTACCTTACTCCGAAGTTGGATTTTAAATTGAGAACGGTTGGATGTTTTAGATTATTGTGTGTTAGGATACCGAAATAGTAATAACCTAGTTCGCTAACCCGCATCTACCAGTTACGCAAGTTGGGGTATTACATTTTGGAATAAGTTGGTAGACCCATTAATAGGAAGTGCGAAATAGGGAGTAGAACAGCAAGTAATGTGGGTTCTGCTTCATATTCTCCAGTGTCCTCACAATCCTTTGTTGGACCTACCACATTTATGATTTGGCAAAGCCAGCCAATCGATTAGTACAGCAGTTACATATTTACTCATATATATATAGTCGCAATCAATATTGATGTTAGCCTATCAGAGTATGGATTGGGTAATTAGTCACTACATACTCAATCTTAGTACAGTACAGTTATTTACACATAAAGTGCAATGCATGGGAGCATAATTGCAAATGTCATATAGTTGTCCATTAAAACATCCAAGGTTCTCAAAAAATTATTTCTCTAAAAAATGTGACTTGGAATTTATGTGAAATATTTATTGTATTCTTTTCAAACCCATTACTTAGTGAAGCAAGCACATCTAAATTAAAAATTCCGATCTCTCTTGCTACTAAGACCAATCTCATCAAGGCTTGCTAAAATTTATGATATATAAGCCAACCATTTCTTCTCTTCTTCAATGAATGTGCTATCTTTTAGCAAGCTTGCTAAAAAATAATCGAGTTTGACTTACTAAATATAATAAGCTATTCAAATTACAGCAAGTCAATATTAATAGAATGGATTAGCAATCCATTGTTGGAGAATGGAACAAAGAATTGCTTGCTACTCCATATATCATTATTCACTGTTAAAATATAAAAATAACAATCCTTTTATGGGCCACAACCATAAGACTTAACTTCTGGTTGAGTTCATTTCTAGACAAATGTAAATTTTGACATTTTGGATGCCAAGTATTAAATTTTGATGAACGAAAACAGCTATAATTTAGACTCCTTATTTTATACTCCCTCCGTCCCATGAAACCTTTCTCCTTTTTTTTATCCGTCCCACAAAACACTTCTCATTTCTATTAAAAAATCACTTTTACCCCTTACTTTTTCATACTCTAACTATCACATCATACTTTTTTACTAATAATCTATCCATCAAATCATACTTTTACCCATCACATCAAAGGATATTTTTGGAAATTCAATACCAAAATATACCCCCCTTAAATCCCTCCTAAAAAGCAAAAGTCCCATGTTTCATGGGACGGAGGGAATAGTTTAATCCAATTTGCATTGAGGTTATCCACTACCAATTTTAAGATATCAACTTTCAAACTCCAAAGTCCAGTTTAAAATAAAGAAAAATTTGCTCCATATAAGACCAAAAAAGGTATGTTTTCCGGGACAGTACTAATTATGTTTTATTCTCTTTATGACACATACTTTTGTATGATCTTTCTATACATACTCTCATGGCTTAGCCCGACCGTTTTTCAATTCCTCTTTTTTTGCCAATATTTATTTCCATATTGATGAGATAATCACCCATTAATATCTCCTACTCCCTCCGTTTCAAAAAACCCTTCCTCTTTCGTTTTTTTGTTTTCCACAAAACACTTCCATTATAAAAAAAACTACATTAATTAAATAAAAACATTACATTCATTAAATAAAAAAAATTACATTCATGAAAAAATAAATAAAATACTTGAATAATAATTTTTTTTTAAAAAAATGATAGATAGAGAGAAATTTGTATTTGTGTTGAATTTTTTTAAAAAATTAAATTAAATTTAGAGAGAAGAAAAGGGGAAAAAAGAGGAAAAAAAAGAAGGAAGAAAGCCTTCTCACGCCTTCAACTCGCGTCAAAGATTTAACGCAGAAGTTTTAACGCCCTTATAATGGGGGAGGGGGGCGGTGTTTCACGCCCCCCAGGCATCAAAACTAGGCTAACGCCCTTTGGCGTTACAAGTATTTCCACTGCTCTAAGATAGAGTGATATTCAAATTCGAATTCGAATTCGGTTTGAATATTTTTTAAGATTCATATTCAGTTCGTTTAATATATTGAACATATTCGGTTCGTTTAAAAATTTGGTTCGTTTAAATATATTCGATTTGTTTAAAAATATTCGATTTATTTAGATTTTAAAATATTTTATAACCATTTAATCTAATGATTAGCTATATATATATAATTTGTATAATTAAATTTATATTCTGAATATATTTGTGATTTGTCAAACTCACGAATCGAATATCCTTGATTCATATTGTATTTGGATTTGAAAAAATCAAATACGAATCACCTCATACGAATACGAATCACGAATCGAACTAAAAATATTTGATTCATTTACAATGATGAACCGGCGGGGCTTTGCACTTGGCGACAAGCGGCTCAGTTTTGAACAATGTCACCCCTATCCCTTCACCCAAATCCACCTCCCCTTCCCCGACCCTCTCCCACTCAAAACACTGTATCATAGACCTCAAAGCCAACCCCATAACCCTCCGGGCAAGCCCGGCCCCCCGGCACGACCTCCTCCCCATTCCGAACGGCAGGAGCTCCGTTAACTCCACGTGCGCGCCGCCGTCGAACCTCTCCGGCCGGAAGCTCATGGGGTCCTCCCACAGGTTCGGGTCCCTGTGGATGGCCCACGCGTTGACCAGCAACATCGTGCCCCGCGGAATGTCGTACCCGGCTATTTTACAGTCGGCCGACGAGTAGTGCAGCACAAGAAGCGGCGCCGCCGGGAACAACCGGAGCGTCTCCGTGATTATGTTCTGAAGGTACTTCAGCTTTGGCAGGTCGTCTTCGTCCATCACCCGGTCTGGTCCGACCACGTCGTCTATCTCGGACCGGGCTTTGTGTAGAACCGTCGGATGGTTCAGCAGGATTGATAGTGCCCACTCCATTGTCACCGCCGTAGTGTCCGATCCCACCAGTAACATCACCTGCCATTTTATGGAGACTACTCATCGTCATTTACTACCCACGTTTGCAGTTGGACTTCTCCTCTTTCTAATAGTGTTATTAAACCCGGGTCGGACAACACGATCCGACCAGTAGAACTGCAACTCGGACACACAACTAATTCGGTCCAACCCCCAAAACCCATAAAACCCAGAAAAACCAGATCGATCCAGGACCCGTCCTCCTTGTTGGGCTAACATTGGTTTGGGTTTAAAATCATTCCTTTCTAACACAAATTTTTGGAAATGTAGATATAACACCTAAGAAAGATTCCATATTAACTTCATCATATAAATCCCACTTCTAACATCACCTGTTTACAAACTTTACACACATTCACAGACATCCGACATTGTTCTGTGTCTGTAAACATCTCCAAGGTTTGTAAGAATGATGTTAAAGGTGAGCTTTACATTTTGGGGTCAAGATAGCATTACTCAAGAGCTAACCCAAGTCATCCTTTATAAATAGACTAGATACTACTCCATATTACACTGCAAGCTCATCATGTTTAAAAATAGTTAGACCAGATACTACTCCGTATTTGGTATGAATTCCTTAAAGAGTCTAAGGGTGTTAATTTGGATCAATCCAATCCGATCAACTAATTTGAATATCCAGTATTTTCGGATCGACGAATATCATTCTATATTATACATGGAATCTGATATTCGAAATTTTAAATCGGATCAATAGAGTATCCAAGCACTAATATTTGTTGTATTTGATATGAAAAACTCTATCATGCATTACATGTTATTAAGATCATGTTCTTTTGAATTGAAATTTCAGAGTTGGATGTTGGAAAAAATTGGAAGGAGTTATAAGAAACTAAGAGTTGGGTAAAATTGGGAAGAATTGAAAATGTTACAATAAGTGTTAAAAAGTCACTCAATTAAATGTGTCTTAAATGTTAACTTATTAAAAACAAGACATCAAAGTCTTAGAAATGATAATAAAATTGACATATTTCCACAAAAGAAGAGGGCCTAAGTTGTGTCTTAAATGTTAACTTATTAAAAATAAGACATCAAAGTCTTAGAAATGATAATAAAATTGACATATTTCCACAATAGAATTCATCGTTATCCGTGTTTGAAAGATATATTATAAATTTGGATATATAATGTTATTTTATATTAATCATATATAAATATTTTTTTGGGTCGTTGTTAGAAAAAATTAAAAGAATTTGGAATGATCTGGAAAGACTTGAAAGAAACATAAAAAGGTTGGAAGAAGTTAGAATTTAATTCTTCCAACCCAAAAGAAGAGGGCCTAAGTTGAGTCTTAAATGTTAACTTATTAAAAACAAGACATCAAAGTCTTATAATAATAATAATAATTCTTAATTGGATCTGATCTGATTGGATTTAATCTGATCTAATCTAATTCGATATGATTTAATCTGATCTGATTTTAATAAGAATAAGAATCTTTCTATATACAATGCTGCTAAGAGGACCTTAATAACAGTGTTCCCGCCCATTTGATAAGCTACAGTAATCGGAAAATTTGGACTGCACAATCCAATAAAAAAAACTGGCGAAGCTTCCCTCATACTCTTAAGGATTCCGAGTGAATATTGGATATTGGACTCCGTATTTTATTAGATGTACGAAGAGAGCGTGTAGAGAATTCCGCCGGATCAGCAGAGATTGACCTTCTTCGGGAAGCAGCTTGGAGACAGCCGGACCCTTGCCGAATACAACATCTAAAAAGGTAAACGTTTAATCTACGGTTTTGTTCTTGACACCTTTTTGGATTCAATCACTGTGGAATTTAATCTTTGTTGGTGTTTGATTTGGGATTCTAACAGAGTCTACTCTGGATCTCATCACCAGGCTGTTTAGATCCAGAATGTTTGATCAAGGGAAGGAGATATTGAGTTCGGTTGCCGTTGATGATAGTCTTAGTAAACACCCAGTGTCGGAGATAGCAGATTTAGCGAGGGAGAACAACAGGGAGAATCCCGAGATGGTTGTAAAGCTGCTGGATGCATTATTTAGGGTTTATGTCTATCACATGAAGCTCAAGGAAGCCATTGAGGTTTTTGACTACATGAAGAACAACGAGTATGAGATTCATGACAAATCTTGCAGCCAAAAGGTCTAATCAATTCTAGTTGTTGTTTGCGTTTTTCCAGAAGATGGTGGATGCAAATTTGAAGATCACGGTTTATTCAACGACTATGGTAATTGATGGATTGTGTAAAATGGGAAGAGTAGATGAAGCAAGAAGATTGTTGCAGGATATGATGATTCGTAGAGGCGTGAAACCTAACGAACATACTTATAACACGTTATTGAATGGATATGTGAAGCACTCGGATCTTGGCGCCGTGAATGATATCTTAAATGAGATGAAGAAGGAAGGAATCCAGATGAATACCACAAGCTACACAGTTCTAATAGAAGGTTATTCAAAGTTGAGAAGATTTGAAGAAGCAGGGGAACTTTTTGGAGATATGGAAAAGAGAAACATAGAAGCAGATGCTCATGTCTACACTGCTGGAATGGCAATTGGCATCGTTGGTGACGCCGGTGTTAGAGCTAACTCACAACAGTCAAAGCTCTTTGTTGGTATGATTCCCATTCTCATTTTTGCCGAAGCTTTGGCTCTTTAAGGCCTCATTGTTGGAATCATCCTCTCTTATCACTCTCAATTGCCTACTTTTCTTTTTTACCCTATTTAACTTTTCAATCTCACACCTAAGGGTATGTTTGGATCCTGGAAAATGCCAATAATATTAGGGAGTATTTTCTTATATTGTACTTGGTTTAAATTTTAATAATGCAAAGGAAAATGTAATAGGATTAGTCCGTTTTTATACTTCGTATTTAAATTTGCATATATCTAGATTTCATAATCTCTATATAACAGAAATAAATAAATAAATGAGTATCCACAAATATCGGAAGTAAACTTATTGAGTTTAAGCATTCATTTGCTTTCACCCACATTTTCTTTCAATTTTAATTTCCCCCGAAACGAAATGTGAACTGTGTGGTGGAACAGGGAGTTAAAGCTGTAATCACTAAGAGCTTTGAGAGGATACACCGAAGTAACTTGGTGGGGATGGGCATTATTCCTTTATGTTTCAAGGCTGTAGAGGATGCAGAGACACTGGGATTGACAGGTAAGGAGCGCTACTCCCTGAGAGTGAAAGTACAGAAGCTTTGCCGGCCAGTCTAGAGCAGACTAGAGGAAGGAAGAACATGCCCAAATGCTTCGGTAACTTTTGTTGTGGTCAAGGCTTTTGCTGTTACGATAAAGCATCTGGTGGTTTTCAAAAAAAGGGGCTGTTTTAGGTATATATATAATCATTTTATCTGTCATTCATCTTTGTACATGGTGTAAAATTTTGTAAAATATTTGTTGGCATCATGAAGCTTTGAAGTAATTTCTCTTCACTTTTTTGGTGAAAAGAAGACAAAGGAGATTGCAAGTTTTTTAAGTATAGTCCATATTTTTTTTCCTCTAAATTTATGTGAAGCACTATTTATGACTAACTATTCTAGGATGCAGTGATGAACAAAGAAAACAATTGTAGACGGTCATGCAGGGACATATAAAACATAAAGACGGTTGGCCTACAGCTGCAGGTCTTCTACTTCTTCATCTTCTTTTTCTTTTTCTTATCTTCGATTTTACATATTTACTCAAGTATATGTCTGAAATTTGCCGCTCTTTTTGTTTAGGTTTTTACCGATCCCTCTTTTCATCCTTAGAGATGTCCTCTACGTCAACAGAGACCTGGCCGCTGCTCTCATCTTTGACCGGAGTCCGGGGTAAGGTTCTTATGGATTTAGGGTTTCGTTCGTTCGGTTTTTTTTCTTTGACTTTAGCGGCCGGTCATTCCATCCGTAAGAAGAATTAGGCTCATAGAATCAATCGTCTCTGACTTTCTTCCTCCATGTCCAATTCATTACTTATCTATCTATCTATCAATCAGGTATTTCATTTTCTACCCTCATTTTCTTCTTTGAGTTTTTGTCTTCTATTAGGTATATGGTCAGATTTTAGAAAATGATACATTACTCAACAAATCATCTATTAGGTCTATATTAGTCTGTGATTTTTCTCAATTTTTTCCTACAGCCTTTGTCATTTTGTGAGTTTTTGTTTCAAAAAATTATAATTGGAAATTTTTTGTTCTCATATTAAAGTGGTCTTTTAGATTTTTGATACTACTGACTAAATTTGATTTAAATATTATTGACTAAATGTAGAATTTCATTTTTGAATTTCTTAAAAAACCTAAATGTTTAGGTGAAATGAACTTTTATTCAATAAAATGTGAGAAAGTGCACATTTTTTGGGGTTTAGTTTATATGGTGATTCACAAGATGTCTTCTCCCTTATATTCTTTGGGTGGAAACATTTCAAAAAAGGCGTGAAGGTGTGTAATTTCATTGACAACTTATTTATTCTGATAAGTGATTTAAATTCATCATTAGGAAAATGTTTGTGTTTCTTTATAGTTCAATTTTGCATATTGATTACAAAAGTTTTGTAGTTTGCATAAGGAATTCATTTGACTATTGAAGAGACACAATTACAACCTGGATTTTTTTAAATTTTTGATTGTCTTTTAGATTTTTATTACTACATTTGTCTCTTCTATGACTTGGAGTGGCTAATTCATTCATTAAATGTTCAGATTTTTATTACTACATGTGTCTTTTAGATTTTTATTACAACGACATAGAAGGTATGTTTGTGGGTGTGTTCAGTTTTCTTAAAAAAGTTGTTTACCTGTGAGTAACATTTTGACTTTATAATGTTATTCATATTCTAACTCTTTGCATTGATAAATGAAGTTTATTTAAGTGTAGCTAACAGTTGCAAGACGACTATGGTCTTCATGTGATGGGCTGATGGCTATCCACTGGTCTGAACAATAGACTCCTCAAGGGTAGTATTTACCCTCTCTTTGTTTTTGTTTCTTTTGATTTATAAATTTCAAATTTATTACTTTCCAAATTCATAAATGGATTAAGCAATGATAAATATGTTTGTTTAAAATAGGCAACATTTAAGTTTTCATCATCTTCACCTTCATTGTTGCTCAAGTTTCAGTGAGTATTCCATGAACATTGGCTTCTTTTAAGTTTCTAATTTTGATAGTTTTTCTTTAAGTAATGCAATGCATTTCTGTTCCAGATTAGAATTAAAGATTTGCGAGTGGAGGAGGTTAGGGTTTAGGGTTTTGAGGCTCCGATACCATGTAAAATAATAAAGAATGCTTTATTGATTGAATAATAGAAGAGGAATACCAAAATATGTATTTATAGGTGGAGGAATATATTCTAGAATCCTCCACATTAATGGCTAATTATATAAGGTAACATTATATAATAATAACTCTAACTATAATAGGTAACAACCATAATTATAATATATAATATTAAATATATTAAATAATTGATATATTTAACATTTTTCTTTAATGATGATCATTTTAATGGGATAATGATGAGCACTCTAAATCCCTCTACCTCAAATAGGCATAGAAGATAGGTTAGGATATGATGGTGGCAACATGATGGATATGTGAGGACATAAATGCAATTTTGACTTATTGTAAATTGTTTATTTTTTCTTCAGATTGTGATTGTAATCCTAATTAATAGGTTTTGGCATAAATTTCGGTGGTAGGTTTGTACATTTTTTCAAGCGAATCTGAAATTTTGAGTGTTCTGTAGATTAGAAAAGCATGTCAATGTCAAGTAATGAGAAAGGTATGTTTACTCAATTCTAATGGATAAATTTTTTAAGTAAGCACTCATTTTTTCATTAGTTCATTTTATTATTCGTAGTAGCATTATTCCTTTTCTTTTTTTTGCTATGATAATGTTTTTCAGTGACAAATATGAATCAAGGACATAAATGGCCATAACCATCTCATGATTCCTTCATGGTATTCGTTTTAAGTTATTACTATGCTATTAACCTTTGGTAAAAAGATACTGGAAATGTATCTTTTTAGCGACTCAATGAAGGTGGAATAACTTAAAGCTTTTTTCAGAATCAAGTAATGACAAAGGTATGTTTACTCAATTTGGGTTTTTTTAGTAAACACTCATTTTTTTCGTTAGTTCATTTTGTTATTCGTAGTAGTGAAATTAATACTCCATGAAAAGCTTAAGAATGTGGCTTTGTTGTTTAATACTCCTTGAAAAGCTTTTCCAACCAACTTTTTAAACACTACTTTAAAGAAAACATGGTCTGAATTGTTTAGTACTTCATGAGTAGAAAAAAGGTAAGGGTTGAAGTCATTATTTGGTTGGAGTTGCTAGAAAAGATCAATTTAAATCCTTTTTTAATACATACTCATTTGACATTTGTAATATATTTTTCCAAGGTAGAGAGGGATGACATTGAGTGACACGGTCCCTGTAGTATGAGATTATTACAACCTTTAAAAGTGTTATTTATTTTTAAGATGCTTTGAGAATTCATGTGATCTTCAATCTCTCAACTCAATTTATTAATAGTCTTCATATCTCTTCTTTATCAAAATAGTAGTCTCTTCTTTGGAAATTTTTTTACCGATTGATAAAAGATAGGGATTTCTTAAAACTACAGTTATGCAAATGAATTGTTAATTTGTTTGTGTAAATTATTTTTGAGAGAAAACAATCTAGGGATGTTCTTGGTTGTGTGAAAACATGATCCCTTTCATTTTTTATTAAATTGTTTGAGAAATAGATTTTGCATGGTTGGGCAAATTTACTTTACTCAAAATAACTCTCTTGCTCTTTGTTTGTTGTAGTGAATGGAAGAGACCTTACCCTGATGCATATTTTGAAGAAATTTTTATACATTGCATCTATATTATTGATATTTTGTATCAAGAATATACTTTTGTGCATCTCTATATCTAATGAATAATTCCGTATAATATTTCCTTCATTTATATTTCTTTTGCAATGCACAACAGTTAATTATTATTTTTATATGAATAAATTTTTTATACATGGTAATAATTCTTTTACATAAATTTGTAACTTTATTCTGGCGTTGGACGGGTACGAGTCTAGTTTTTTGAAGCAGGTACGAGTCTAGTTAAACATAAAAAAATAAATTGAACTGAACTAGGGCTAACTGGTCATCGGACATTATTCCACCCGTGGAGACTGGAGAGGTACGGATTGGGCAGGCGGGTATGGGCCGAGATCAAATAGCAATATCGTGTTCGCCCAAATAGGTCAGTGCGGAGTACGGGTCGTGGTAGTCCCAAGCAAGTAAGCAACCTAACCCGCCTTTCCTTTTTCGCTCATCCATGGCTGGGCGCTACGGATCGCTCTCCAGATCTCTTCTCTCTACAGCAACCAGAACCTCCACTTTCCGCCGCTCGCAACCGGTCCTCTTCCAGCGCCTCCCGTCTCGCCGTTTCCTCTCCGGCAATCTTCCCAGGTTTGGTTCCTAAATTCTATACTATCTGCGATACGGACTCTTAGATTCCCTATCTTTAAAATTCTTCTTCTTTTTTTTTTGTAATCACAGGAGTAATCGGATATTAGGCTCTACACAATCGCTGCTTCCTCTTCACGCGGCGGCTCGATTGACTTCGCCCGCCTTAGTGGCGGCGCGCTGTAACTGCAAATTGTCTCCGGCTGCCTTTTTCTGTCGCAATTGCCCTGATCGGTAGTTATCATCAATCACCATCAAATGTGAGTCCTGTTTACTTTTACTGTGATTTGTAATCTGTTTCGTCAATATGTAGAAGCTAAACATAAATCTAAACCTATAACTCTCCAGAATTTAATACTCTGTTTTTGTTGGTAGCATGTCAATTGAAATTAATTTATATGTTAATGTTAGCTACCAATTGAAATTAATTTTCACATTTTAAATATATTATTCAATGATGGTAGCTTCTAGTGTTAGTGTTTTCTAAGAGGCTGTTTGTTTCAGCCTCTTAATGGTTCAGATGTCTGAATGGTTCAGCACTTAATGGTTCAGACTGTTTGTTTCAGCCTCTTAATGGTTCAGATGTCTGAATGGTTAAGAGATTTGCTTCTGAATGGTTAAGTATTATACAGAGTCTGAATGGTTAAGAGCTCTTATCTGAATTGATCAGACATTTGCCTCTGAATAGTTAAGCAATATACTAGCTCTTAATGGTTCAGACCTCTTACGGGTTCAACACTTAATGGTTCAGACCTCTTACTGGTTCAGCACTTACCTATTCAGAAGTTGCCAAACAGCCCCAAAGTGTCTACGGAGTATATTTTTTCTGTCTCAAAAATCAGTATTCAAAAATATCAAAATGTAAAGGCTATTAATTTCAGCATGTTAAAAATATTATTCAATAGCAGCTTCTTGTGTTAGTATTTTCATAGTTAATAGTCAATATTATTAAAAACATTCAAATGCTAATCACTTAGGTTGTTCTCAAAAGTAAATGCGAGTTGGTGAACTTGTTTGTTAGGCACTTGACAATTACCTGCTTTTTTGTTTATTTTTCTTGTTATTAACTTGCAAAAACTCTAGAAAGACATGAAAATGAGACATTATTAAGTGATATTGTTATGTTACTTAGAAGGACATGAAAACGAGACATTATTAAGTCACTTAGAAGGACATGAAAATGTTTGGGTTTTGAAAAGTCAGACACCTGATCATCAACCAATAAATATGTCCCAAATTAGAGTGTCACTTAATACTCTGCAATTTTGATGTCTCCCATGAAGTGCTCTTGACTAGGACTGTTTAAGCGACTAGGACTGTTTAGGCTAGAGTCTTGAATTTGGTTGGACTAAACGGCTAAGACCCAATACTAATGGATCATAGACTTAACGTCCAAGGCCCCCAAGGCTTTTGGACTATAGGAAGGTAAGGTCTTTGAATGGACCATGGACTAAACAACCATTGCGTTGTTACCAAGAGAAGGGGTGCCTAGGAGAATAGTTTTTCAAGGCGAGAGGCAGGCAAGAAGACTTTTTTCAAGGCGAGAGGCAGACGGCGGATGGTCAAATGCAAACATGGTTCATTTGGCCTAGTTACTCTCTGGGTCTGTTGATAACTTTTATTTGTGTATGCCTTTCCAATAATCATTTAATAAAATAAAATAGGCATGTCACTATTTATTTTGTAGAATTTTTGATATATTTTATAAATGTGTAAATTGTATTTTTATTTTCATACAAATTTGTAAAAAATTATTTAAAAAAGATGAGATTTTGCACATCTCGAAAGAGAACAAAGAATTTGAGACGTAGTGTGTGTGTGTGTGTGTGTGCGCGCGCGCGTGCGTGCGCGCACGGAGGGAGGGACGGAGGGATGGATGGATGGATGGATGCATGCATGCAAAGCGACGAGTAAGAATGATACTTGTGGGGCAAGTCGCTAGGATTAGGATGAAGGGCCAAAGTTGTTCACTTGAAGAGATGGTAGATGCAAGAAAAGTGTTTGATTCGGGCGCGCTTACGAACCTCACTTCGCTTGACCACCATGAGGTGCCTTAGGCATAGACGCTCCCCTTTTAAAACTTTGGTATTTAGGAAATAATATTTTCACAGAAAACATTCTACCAATTTATTCTTTTAATTCTATCAGTTTGGCACTTGACATGCCACTGTTTTTAATGGTTTTTGTGTGTTTTGTAGAAGAGCATGTCAACTAGAAATGAAGCAAGTCAAAAGGGAAGATGAAACTTCTTAATTTGATCACATTTTAATGAAAGACTTTATACTCTTATTTTTTTCTTCATGTTATTAACTTACAAAAACTCTAGAAAGTTTAGGTGGTTCAAATGGGGGTGTTAAGTTCAAAATCTCAGGATCGATTCTCGGGAACAACAATGTGAAAATTTTATCCAAAAGAAAACCCCACCGATTGGAGTAAATTTTATAAAAGACACAAATAGTTCTATGCGTTTTCTTTTTTTAGTCCAGAATTGCCCTTGCTTGCTTATCCTAAAATCCCAGCGGAATAGTTGGAAACCATATCTTCATTTTTTAGCTTGGATCTGCGGCTCAAATAGCCGCCTGCCACAGCTACCCTCGTCAACCTCCGTGACATCCGTTGCAATGCTCATCATGACCTCTCCGCTTTGCTTGCGGGGTGTTATGTTTTTTGAAGCTTTGCCTTTAAAGCTAATCCCTGTGACTTGGATCCTGTGACTCGGATTCAAATTTTCTGACCTCGCACTCGGATTTAAATCTTCAATTTCTGCACAAAGTAATGTCAATTTACTTCCTCTTTCACACTCTTTAAATACTCCCAAGATCCATGTTGTAAAGGGGGTTAAGTGTGGCGGGAGAATTGATAGTGTGGAGTGTGACACCCTTAATTCTACTAGATTCTAACCTGCGCGATGCACGGCTAGAATTTTATGAAATGATAAAGGGTACAAATCATAAAAATAACACATAATTAGGGGTCACTACATTTCAAATATATGTAAATGCAGAGGGGTTCCCATGACATTGGAACCTCATGGCATGGAATAACTCGGGATCGCTACGGTGCTCTGTTCGTAAAATTGACGATCCTCTACCCCGCCCCGACCTGAACATACCCTCCACTCCCTTCAATTGCACCCTAAGTTAATTATGACTTAGGAGCAAAAATTAATTCCAACATAAAAATTAACTTGGGGGTGCAATTGAAGTGAGTGGGGGGTGTGTTTAAGTCAGGGGGTGGGGGGTTACTGGGGAGGTTGAAAGGTAAGAATCATCAATTTTACGAACGGAGCACCATAGCAACCTCGGGTCAATCCATAACATGAGATTCCAATATCATATAAACCATCCCCATGTAAATATTTTTACTCCTTCCGTCCTCGGCTATTTATCCAGTTTTAATTTTTTCAGTCAAAATTGGTAAACTTTGACCTCAAATTAAATAAAAATGATATTAGATATTGGTATAAAATAAATTTTATTAGATTTATTATATCAAATATTTTTAAAATATTATTTTATCTAATTAATATATAATATATTTTATTTGATTATATGTCAAATGTTGAAAATCAAATTGTGGCGACCTTTTAGGGACGGAGGGAGTATATAGTTGGCTTCCGAGAGGTTGTGGTTCAAATCCGATGCTCCGGGGTCCAATGTGGGGGAGATGGGCTGAAATGGGTCGACACCACCCTGGACTCGAGAAGCTCAACCATGGGGGTGCTATTTACGCACCTCGGAGCTTTGTATTGGTTAATGGAAGCTCCCTTTGCAATGGCCAAGTCCATCACCTCTTCAAATGTCCCGGCTTTTACAACCCTTATTTCGAGTGCCTCGATCGACTTATCTGCAACCCTACACTGTCTATATACGGTGTTCATCGACTCTTCCATGGCCACGCAACACTTGCTCAGAACATCGTCGAGATCTCCTAGGACGTGATCGTTGCAGGGATTAGGAGCTATGCTCAAGAGTTCCCAGTAAATCATGTAGTGACTTGGGATGGTCTTTGTCTCGGTGAAGCTCATGTACTCCACGAGCCTCACCCCGTGAGTCGTGACCGTGCAAGAGAGCCGCGGCTTTTTAACGGCATTCTGCAGCTCTGCTTCGTCGGTCTTGTCGGAGTCGATGCTCAGGAGCACGTTCTTTCCACGCACGAATTTGAATGTTGGCGCGGAGTTGTGGAAGCCGGTGACCAGGAGGATGTCTCCCACCCGGTAGCGACACATCCCGGCGTAAGTGGTGATCACGAGCTCGTATTCCTTCCCCATTTCCACGTCTGCCAGGTCCACCAGGTCACCACCTGGTCCTGTGAGGACAGGGCTAGGAAGGAACTCGAAATACCCCATATTGGGCATGATGGTGTAGGAAACCTCGGAAGGCGGACACATGGTGTTGAGGTTGAGGCCGAAGTAGCATTCTAACGATGCGTACATGACGGACGCCTTTGGCAAGCCGCCACTGTAATAATCAAGAGTGTGGATGTACTGAGCCATTGCGCTGGTGATACCTGGCATTGGGCCAAATTCTCCTTATGATCCCTTCCCAGTTCTCGTCCTCGCACTCTCTGACAATTACCTGAAAAGAAATTTATCTAAAAAACACTAAACCAAAGATGAAACTTATATTAACATATGGGCAAATTTTTAGTTCTAGTTAGTTATTTTCCCTTTACCTGAGCGAGCTGATGGTTCGGGCTCAAGACCTTTCCAACTTAGCATCGGATGGAAGGGTCGGTGATCCGGGAGCATAGCGTCCCGGAGGCGATATCCCCGATTATTCCCCGGCGAGTTCCCTCCAGTGCACGTGGAGGAAGCGGATGGCGCAGAGGAGGCCGGAGGCGAAGACGGCGCCCATGCGGAGGACCTCCTCGCGCATGAGCAAGCTGCAGAGCATCTGAGCATACATGCTTTGGAAGGTGTCGACGTAGAGGATGGCCTCTATAGGGCTCGTGCAGACATTGTAGGGGTCGTAGGGCTTCTTCGTGAACTGCTCGCTGTTGTAGTAGCTTGTCAAGACCAGGTAAAAAATAATTTTATTATCTTTTATTTTGTAGAACTTTTGAAATAGTTTTTTAATATCTGATCTTTACTAATTATTCTTATAGCAATTATTAAATAAATTTATTTTTTAAAAATTGTAAGGTTTTACCTCGTAAATAAAAAATTGTAATCTAGTTTGAGAGAAAAAGAGTATTTATAAACTAGAAAAAAAGTTAGACAATTATGCTAAACATAGATCCTCTATAAGTATCATTAGAGGCGGATCCAGGATTTTACAACCATGGGGTCCTCTACCTCCCATTCTCATCTCGAACCACTTCATAAGTCTTAATATTTAAAACTAATATTTGAAAAGTATCATAATTAATACATAGAAATAAAGTCATACGAAAATAATATCGTTTACAATTGTACTCGTCTAGCTTTCATATTTTGGAAGTGATCTATAATTACATCATCACTAATGGTGAAAAAGACATCTCCAAAGACTCAAAATCCAGGGTCAGCTTCCAAAGACTCAAAATCAAAATTTCTTTCAATAGAAGTACATTGAGTGCTTTCTTGAACATGCGTAGGTTGAGTGTCTACTTGAATAGGAGTGGACCGGAGCACTAACATTGTTACTAATTCCACTTGACTTTGAATCTTTGGATTTGGATAGCTTTTTGAAGTACCTTTGCATTTTTAATTCTGTAAATAAAAAATTAATATT